ATTGGTGCACTCCGATTGGTATCACGCTTCAAAGGTCCATCTCTTATACCTTGGCATGATATGGTAGAAATTGTCTCCTATATTTCCTATCTAAGCATATATGCAAACTACAATCCAAACTCTTAGCACATATATAGGGAGAGCAATTGCTACCATTTGGAGTTCATGAAACTTGTCCATATTCTTTTACACATGGTAAATATGCTTGGGTAAGCAACATGGATTCAATTAAATTACAATTCATATCTTTTGTGAAAGGGTTGTCATCAATTACCAAAAAGGGAGAGATTGAAAGCTCTAGTTTAGTTTTGGTTAATTGATGAAACCCTAAGTGCTAACCTAGTTTATCAAAGTGATTATGAGATAGGTAGCACTACTCCAAGTGATGAAGCAATGGCGAAGATCATGACGATGGTGATGGCATGGTGATGATCAAATGCTCGAACTTGGAAAAGAAGAAAGAGAAAAACAAAAGGCTCAAGACAAAGGTATAAATAGTAGGAGCCATTTTGTTTTGGTAATCAAGACACGTAGCGAGTGTGATCACATTTAGGTTAGATAGCCGTACTATTAAGAGGGGTAAAACTCGTATTGAAATGCGGTTATCAAAGTGCCACTAGATACTCTAATTCATTGCATATGCATTTAGGATCTAGTGGAGTGCTAGCACCCTTGAAAATGTTTGTGAAAATATGCTAACACATGTGCACAAGGTGATACACTTGGTGGTTGGCACATTTTAGCAAGGGTTAGAAACTTCATCGGTGGAGTGTCCGCCCGTAGAGTGCGGACAGTCCGACGGTGCCACCGGCGCCCTATACAGAAAAGATAGAGGTTCATAGAGTGACCGGACGCTGGTGGTGCAGTGACCGGACACTGAGGTCTAGCATCCGGTCAGTGACAGCAGAAAGCACACTGTCTCGGTCTTGTGATCGGACGCTGGAGTGTAAACTGACCGGACGCTCATGGTCTGAGTCCGGTTAGTGCTGACGTACGCTGACGTGAGGCGCACAGAAGAAACGTTGAGTGACCGGACGCAGGGTGTGTCCGGTCAAGCATGACCGAACGCGTCCGGTCGTGAAATATCGCGTTTGGAACCTTACTGGAAACGACCGGACGCTGAGATCCAGCGTCTGGTCACTTTCTAACTGACGCATCCGGTCATCACTTGACCGTTGAAATCGGGCGATCGGCGTTTGAAGCCGATGACATGTGGCACACATCGCACGACCGGACGCTGAGGTCCATCGTCCGGTCAATATGACCGGAGCATCCGATCGTCCCGTGTTCAGTGCAGTGAGGAGCCCAACGGCTCTATTTCGTGGGGGCTTCTATTTAAGCCCCATGGCCGGCTCAAGCTCACTCTCTTGGCCATTTGCATTGACTTAGCAACCTTGTGAGCTTAGCCAAAGCCCTCCCACTCATCTCCATCATTGATTCATCATCGTTTTGAGATTGGGAGAGAATCCAAGTGCATTGCTTGAGTGATTGCATCTGGAGGCACTTGGTATTCGTGTTTTGCTGCGGATTTCGCTTGTTGCTCTTGGTGGTTGCCACCACCTAGATGGTTTGGTGCAGCGGTGGAGGATTGGCACGAGTTGGTGATTGTTCGTGGCCATCTCCGGTGATTGTGAGGGGATTTGTACCTTCCCCGGCGGAGCGCCGAAAGGTAACTCTAGTGGATTGCTCGTGTCATTGAGTTGCCTCACTTGTGGGTAGTTTCTTGCGGTGTCCAATTGTATGGACGAGGTTTGTGCAACACCTATTAGCCGCCGAACCACCAAGTGTTGGTCGACACAACGGGGACGTAGCGTGTTGGCAAGCACGTGAACCTGGGAGAAAATCGGTTGTCTCTTGCCATTTGGCATTCTCTCGGTGATTGATTTCATATTCATCTTGTGATTGGTTCATCCCTCTACACGGCGGTATAATCACCCTACTCACTCTTTTATATTTTACAAACTAGTTGTGGCAAGCTCTTTAGTGTAATTAGAATTGAGAGCTTGATTTGTTATTTAAGTTTATCTAGTGGAGCTCTTTAGTGTAGCAAGTTGTGTGTCTAGTAATCATTGCAACTAGAATTGTTGATAGGTGGCTTGCAACCCTCGTAGAGCTAGAGCAAGTTTGCATTTCGCTATTTGTCTTACTAATCAAATTGCTCTAGTTGATTTGTAGAATTTTAAATAGGCTATTCACCCCCCCTCTAGCCATATTAGGACCTTTCAGCTTGGTCCACAGCACGTTACCTAGCAAGCAACCAACACCACAGCACAAGTAGACTAAAAAGTGAGTTCCAACCAATGGAGAAGCTGCCCTTGCACGTCGCCAAGCAATGTCCAAGAAAGCAAAAAGATTCATGTATTTAGCTAAAACTAATTCACTCAGAACCAAAAATGAATTTTCAAGGCTGCTGAGACTAAAATGTGAAGAAAATCACCGAGTCACAAACCTTTCTTAAGAACTCAGAGTGGCCGGCTGCTGAGACTGAAGTCCGACACCACACGGGGTAGAAGACTGCGGCCCCCTGGCGTGGCCCTCCTGGCGTCGCGTCCCTCTGGCTGGGCGTGGCGCCATGGCCCCCCTCCTGGCCACAGAACCTGGGAGCAGCGGCGGCGTGCGACCCCTGTAGGGGTGGGGCGGCCCCCCTACAGCGGCGTGGTGCCTGGGCGTGGCCCTTGCTGGGATCCCCTGGAGTGGCGGCGCTGTAGCACTAGAGCGGCGGCGACAGGAGAGGACCGTGCGCCGGTAGGCGATTTGGTATCGAAGGAAGGGGGCGGCGCGGTGTTTTGTTTCACGGAAGGAAGGGGGCAACGCGGTGTTTTGTTTCACGGAAGGAGATAAGGGAGCGCGAGACAGGAAAAAGTGGTGGCCGCGAATTTTTTTTACGCGCGCACTAGGGTTTCGGAGATTGGGTACCCAAATTTTGGGCGCGAATCGACAACCTGCAGCGCACTAGATTTTACCTCTAAATATATCGACCGACTGTCTGACTTTATTACTGACCTATACCGACTCATGGTTCGACGCCATCTATAGCGACCGATGTATAGCCGCTGAAGGCACCTTTACCGACCGATGCTTCGTTGGAATTCTTTACTGACCAATGTTGCATCGCTAAATACCTAGTTTTAGCGACCGATGTCTGACGCTAATTCTGGTGTGTGGTATAGTGTGTACGTAAAAGAATCATGTGTCTTTATTATTATATATAAAAAATAAAAGGGGATGTGAACATGAACTAGGAGTAGTTAGGACTAGGAGGAGGTATTCCAAAAGTGCAGCAAGCTAAGCTATAAGGGTGTGTCATCTCCACGTGACGATGACGGAGCTGAAGCCAAACCACGTGAGGCGCCGACGCATCTTGTTCTCAATGCTCGTTGTTGCCACAATCTTGCCTGTGTCCAGGGACGAAGCTAGGAAAAAATTTAGGAGGGGCTAAACAACGGCAATTAGCAAGAAAAGAGGTTCAACAAATCTCAGCCCCTCCTACCTGTACATCTACAGCTGAATTTTCAGACGGTGGCTCTATGGGGCTTTGCTTGCTCGCGAGCGGTAGGGGGGGCTGGAGCCCCCTAGCCCCACCGCTGGCTCCGTGCCTGCCTGTGTCCTGATGGTAGTCCAGCAAGGTCATCTCCACTAGCGCTTTCAGAAACCCTAGCCGAGCCATGCCAAGCTGCCCGAACCTCGCTGAGCCCTAGCTCGTGGCCTGGCCTGCCGTCATTGTTGCCACCGCACGCGTCACATGCCGCCTATGTTGTCATCGCCCCTACTGATGCCTGCACCGTCCAGGTGTTGCTACGTCCCAACCCTCGCCAACCCCCATCCACGACACCCTTGTCCCCGCCCGCGACGACACACCCCTCAATGAGTTTTGAGAGAAGAGAGATAGGATATAGGAGAGAGAGCTCGGGAGAGAGAGAATAAAGAGGAGGCATATGGAGATGACATAGATTGGAGATTTGGAATAGGCGTTTGAAAGTTTGAGAGAATCGGGAAGACACGTCCTTGCAAATTGAAGGAACAGATCATGTATTTTATGACTTTTCTCTAATCAAATACGTTTAAAGGGCGGACTGAGTAGATCGTACTAATTTGTTTTTCCTATCGGCACTTTTTAACATCGATCACAAAATTAGAGCAACGGCATATAGATGAGGCCTGTTGTATGTAAAGCCTGAAATGTCCATCTTTTCCGGTTCAGGATACCCTGCTCCGCTCCTGCCAGTATCCTCTAGAAATATCGTCCTGCGTTGGTTGGTTTATCCTACTATGCTAGTGCTAGTGGGAAAAGCTAAGGTGAAGCTGCAATGCAATTCTCGAAGTCCGCGATGATCAGTTTGGGTTACCAATAACAATAGAGCCCGGAGGGGAAGATATCGGGAGGAGCGAGACATGGATTTGTGAATAATCAAATGATGGAGGGCATGATGATACGATCAGCATATTCAGAGCTGAGCTGAGCTTGGGGACCGGCCCACCCCCACCCCCACCCGGGTAGGTTGAGAGATACAGCAGCTGCAGCTGCACCCCCCGCCCCGCTATAATAATAATTGCTGGGCAGGGCAGCTGCTCGCGGAGCGAGGAGGAGGAGGAGGAGGAGGAGGAGGGATACATAAATAATGGCAGACCGAGTCGTCGTCGTCGCACCAGTACTTCTTCGCTAGTTGCACACACAGCACCAAACAGAGCACTCCTCCAGCTGCTGCTGCCGAGACACAGAGAGCTTGAAGAGAGAGAGCAGGCTCCTCTCCTCCGACACGGGATTCCCTTGCCATGCCATTCCCATGTGATTGATGCTCTCCCTCTCATCCTCCTCCTCCTGCCGTCCTGCGTAGTAGTATTATTATCAGCAGCATCAGTGCGTAGCAATTAAAGAACGAGCGAGGGAGATCAGCGCCACCAGTTGCAGCTCGCCACCTTCCTTCCTCCCTTCTTCCATTCCACCTCGGCTTCGCTTCTTCTTGGGTCTTTGGCCTGACCAACCAAGACCGAGGAGAATCATGGGGACGGGGTGGCGGAGGGCGCTGTGCACGTCCGTCCAGCGGGACGACGACCGCGACCGCGACGCCAAGAACAAGAAGCGCCGGCCGCAGCACGACGCGCCCAGCCCACGCAGCACCAGCGGCGGCGGCTTCTTCTCCGCCGTCAAGAGCGCGGCCACCGGTGGCAGCAGCAGCAACCCGTCGACGCCGACCCTCCGCTGCCGCACCAGGCCGCTGCAGCAGCCGGCGGACCCCGCCCCCGTGACGCCGCCGCCCTCCGCGCCGGCGCCCGCGCGGAAGCACCGCGTGCCCCTCTTCCAGGCGCTGTCGGCGCCGGCCTCGCCCAGATCCCCCTCCAGATTCGCGCTGCTCAAGGCATCGCTGCTCCCGTCCAAGGTACGGTACAGTGTACACCATCTCTCACATTTCACGTTTCTTTCGTTTGATCCAAGAGCTGAACTGAACTACAATGATGATGGGGATGAGAAAAGATGGATCGATTCGTTCTCATCACTTCTGATTTGGTTGACCCTTGCTTGCTGTCTGTTGTTCAGCGGCGCAAGCAAAGCAAAGCCAGCCGACGAAGAAAGCTGAATCGAATGCACTCCACCATGATTGTACTAGTATACTAACTTAGTCTATCAGCAATGGAGCTTGTCTTTTGCCCTGGCCGCTCGTGATTGGTGATCCCCATCTCTCTTCCCTTCTCTCTCTAGAAAGAAGAAGAAGAAACCGGCCAGCAATGATTGCCACCACCCTCCCCTGTTTTGTCCTAATCCACCTTTCTTCCTCCTTGAGATTCTTCCTCTCCAACTTGTGATGATTGAGCAATTATTATTATATCGTCGTCGTCGTCACTCACAGCAGCTGCAGCAGCTTTTTCCAATCAGGCCACTCGTTTGTTTTTGTTTTCCTCCCATCCCACCACCCCCTGATTGCAATGCATTGCATAGCCATCTTCTCCCTGGATACATTGCCATGCCTAGATTACCAAGCAAGCATTCAGCACAGATCCCCCATCCAGCCTTTTCCTCCCCCTTTCTTGATTCTCATTCTGGATCTCATGCATCTCTTGCCATTATCCATCCAAAAAGAAAAGAAAACCGTACTGCTACAACAACGCCTTTTAGGATTGAGGACCTCTGTAGCAGTATTGTACTACACTTTTTAGTAGTGCTAGCAGCAGCTGCACAGCAGGATGCAAATCCCCTGCTTTTCTTTTCTTTTGGAGAAGATGTGTGTAGGTGGAGCCTAGAGCACAAAAAGATGGATCCAATCAGATCACAGCAGCTTTTACTCGTCCAAGATGGAGATTTTTATTTGAGTGCTCCAAATGATCCTACTGCTAGCGCCCAAAAAGTCCATCTTTCCCTCATCCCAACGTTTGCTCTTTTCTTTCTTTCTTTGGGAAGGGAAGCCGAGGGAAAGAAATCACCCAAATTTGTTCGATTTGTTTTCTTTTGTTTGTTCATCCATCATTCTCTGTCTTTTCTTGCAGAATGCATGCGTGCATTTGTCAGCTGCTGATGGTTGCTCTCTCTCTCTTTGTGCCTGTGTGCAGTCCCGGTGCGGCGTGTGCTCGCGCGGCGTCAAGAGCGGCGGCAGCTCGGCTGTGTTCACGGCCGAGTGCTCCCACGCCTTCCACTTCCCCTGCATCGCCGCCCACGCGCGCTCCTCCTCCGCCAACGGCGTCCTGTCCTGCCCCGTCTGCGCCTCGCCGTGGCGCCAGGCGCCCTTCCTCGCCTCCCTCCGCCTCCATTGCTCCTTCCACGACGACGCGCAGAGCAAGCACCGGGGCGGTGGCGGCGACGGCCGCAAGACGCCGCCGCCCGCCTCCGCCGGTGGTGGCCCCAAGCTGTACGACGACGACGAGCCCCTGCTGGCGCCCAAGGCCGCGGCCAACGGCGGCGGCTTCAACCCGATCCCGGAGGCCGACGAGGACGACGACGAGGAGCAGGGCGCCGCCGAGTTCAGGGGCTTCTTCCCGCGGCCCAGGACCACCTCGGGTCTCGCCGTCACCGTGGCGCCCGAGGCCGCGCTCGTGTCATCGGGTCGGCGCCACGGCAAGTACGTGGTGGCCGTCAAGGTCAAGGCGCCCGGGCTGCGCTCCTCGTCGGCGGCCCCGCGGCGCGCGCCCATCGACCTGGTCACCGTGCTGGACGTCAGCCAGGGCATGATGGGCGAGAAGCTGCAGATGCTCAAGCGCGGGATGCGCCTCGTCGTCGCCTCCCTCGGCCCCGCCGACCGCCTCTCCATCGTCGCGTTCTCCGGCGCCGCCAAGCGCCTGCTGCCGCTGCGCCGGATGACCAGGACGGGCCAGCGGTCGGCGCGGCAGATCGTCGACCGCCTCGTCGTCTGCGCCGCCGCCGCGACCACGGCCACGCAGGGGCAGGAGCAGGGGCAGCAGAGCGCGTGTGTGGGCGACGCGCTGCGCAAGGCCACCAAGGTGCTCGAGGACCGACGCGACCGCAACCCGGTGGCCACCGTCATGCTGCTCTCCGACACCCAGCAGCAGCAGCAGGCGCCGCCGGCGGCGACAGCGGAAAATTCGACAAGGAAGCAGTTTGGGCGGCCAGCCGTGGCCCCAGCAACGCGCTTCACCCACGTGGAGATCCCCATCGGCCCCGGCGACGCGCCTCCTCTCGTGTCCGAGTCCGAGGAGAAGGAGTCGGCGGAGCCTCCCGTGGAGCACGCGTTCGCCAAGTGCCTGGGCGGGCTGGTGAGCGTGGTGATGCAGGAGGTGCACCTGGAACTGGCGTTCCCGACGGGGGAGATCACGGCGGTGTACTCGTGCGGGACCGGGCAGCAGGCCGTGGCGGTCTCCGGCGGCGGCGGCGCGGGGGTGAGCGTGCGGCTGGGCGAGATGTACGCGGAGGAAGAGCGCGAGCTGCTGGTGGAGGTGCGCGCGCCGCTGGGCAGCCACCCGCACTCGCTGTCGGTGCGGTGCAGCTACCGCGACCCGGCGTCGCAGGAGACGGTCCGCGGCGCGGAGCAGCCGCTGCTGCTGCCCCCGCTCCAGGGAGAGCGGGCGTCGTCGTCGTCGTCCCGGCGGCTGCACGACCTGTTCGTGGCGACGCGTGCCGTGGCGGAGTCGCGGCGGCTGGCGGAGCTGCAGGACCTGGCGACGGCGATCCACCTGCTGTCGTCGGCGCGGGCGCTGGTGCTGCAGTCGCCGCCGACGCAGCAGCAGCAGGAGCTGGTGGGCAACCTGGACACGGAGCTGAGCGACATGCGGTGGCGGCGTGTCAACCAGCATCAGTACCAGCAGCAGGAGCCGCTGACGCCGACGTCGAGGAGCGGCAGGAGGAGGGGAGATGGTGACACGACACCGCCCGTGGGGACCCCACGCGGATCAGCCGGTCCTCCTGTCGGGGCCGGCGAGCCACTGACGCCTACGTCAGCGTGGCGCGCGGCGGAGCAGCTGGCCAAGGTGGCCATCATGCGCAAGTCCATGAACCGGGTCAGCGACCTGCACGGCTTCGAGAACGCGCGCTTCTGAAGCTTACCGTCCTCATGTCTGTCTGTAATTGAGTCGTCTTTTGTTTTGCCATTTTTCGTTTTCGTTTTCGTTTTCGCTTGTGAAATGAGACTGAGAACCAAACAGGAGAAGAGGAGGAAGAAGAGAGCCCCCGCCCCGCCCCCGCGCCTCGCCGCCTGAGTCCGGCGAACGGCGGCTAGTAGAAGATAAACAGAAGCAGTCAGAGCTGTTGTTGTTGTTATTAATTACCCCTCTTATATATGGATTATCAATTATGGTGACGATTAATCAACCCAACCCAAATAGGATGAATCCTTCCATTTCCATTGGTTCCTGTTTGTTTGTTGCTATATGAGTACTGTACAAGATAATTACATCTTGCAGTGTCAATCAGGTCATGAGCAACAGGAGATTTCCTGCTCTTGGCTGAACTAGAGCCTGTCTGATGGCAACCAGTCGCAAGGGAAAGCAGGCTGCCCGATACCAATCAGCTCATGATTCATTCATCACTTGTCATGCTCCTCTGTTTCTGTTTCTGTTTCTTATTCCGATTCCTAACAATCAGAGCAGCCAGCCGAAACTGAGCTGAGCTGATCGGGGTCCGGGCAGACCAGCCATCTCCGTCATGCTTGCTTGGTAACAGAAGAACTGGCTCATCTCAATATCTCATCTCATCTCAGCAAGTATTATGGCTGGCTGCAAGCCGGCTGAATCCCTGCTGGCAGAGAGAGAACAGGAGAGAGAGTGAGGAGAGAGAGTGCGGAGCGGGCGTCTCGCAAAACGCCGGCTTAAAGCGGGTGGATACGCGTGTGCTGCATTTTTACTGGCTGGTCTGCTGCTGCGCAGGCTCCGCATTGGGTGCAACGTGCTGCTGGCTGCCGCTGCTGCATTTAATGGAAGCCAGGCTGGAGTTTATTTCGCCGGCAGCAGGCTGTATCATTGCACTTGCTCATAGAGGTAGTAACAGGGAAAGGTACGGTGAACATGCATGGCCATAGTTGGTTGGTGACTTGGTTCTCTTCACCCTCCCCTTCTCAGTCAGTCAGTCGATGAATGGATCAAGATTCAAGATAGATGAGAGTACGAGATGCCTTATCCGATCCCGTTGGAGTGCAATGCAATGATGCATCCCAAATGAGCAGTGCCTGTGCAAAACTAACCCCTTTTTTTCATGGATTGATGACAGACGTCTGCTCCTCCGGTCGCTGTTACAGCACCAACACATCAGAAGAAAAAAAAGATACTCCTCCTCTACGTATAACTGTACAAGCAACTATACAGCACTAGTACATTGCTGAGGCAAAGCAAAAGTCCTCTATAATGCATACAAGGACACGCTCATCCTTTTCCGTTCCTTTGCCTTTTGCCTTTTCCTTTCTTTTCCCCTCTTCAAACAATCAACCAGGATCTGGAGCAAGAGGAACAAAACAAGCACATGCACCAGATGTACATAATATACCTGTATCTATCTTTTTGCATATTATATTATCTATATACACAATCAACCAGGCACAAAAGGGTCGGCCCTTCTCTGATGATGCAGAGGCTTGTGATCATTGCATTGGATCGGTAGCTAGCATATGCATATGCATATGCTCTCAGACGGGTCCAGTCAAAGCACACAAAGCAAGTGCTGCCTCCTCTTCACATGACCTCAGCAATAGTTCAGGTTAATTTAATTTTCACAAAAACCAAAAAAAAAAGGGCAAACTACTTTTTATTTACTCTTACATAATTGATATATAAATGCCGGTGTTATATACACGCGCAACTGTATATATACATGGTATGTGTATGGCTTGATCCTCGGCAAAATTAATTGCGTCGTATTTCTTTCAACCAGAGATGTGTATCCCTTCTCATTACAGGCTGATGATGCTGATTATGAGGCAATCTGTTCATCATGTTTGTTTTAGTGCAATTTTCCTCTGACTGCATCATAATAGTCTAACTACCAGTACTATTTGTACAAGAGGTTGCAGGCTGGGAGGTCATGGATGCCATTGAGATCCTCCAGGGAGAGCTCCCTCTCAAGCTGCTGCTTTGTGGCCTCCAGCACCTCCTGCAATTGTTTCATCCGTTTTAATTTGCATCACATACCCTAATAATTCATCAATTAACTAAAATAAAAGGACAAGCATCAAATTAGTCAATATATATCCAGACGACAAGGATCATCAGCTTACTTTGAACTGCATATACGAGGCTCGCATTGCTAGCCACTGGGCATCCATCATCTCGAAAGCTATGCAGTAGAGCTCGTCGAATGCATCCTCGTGTTCTAATAATACAAAAGATCCATCCATGTGGCAACCAACACATTAAGCTCTTAATCAGGAGGTATGTGCATGGAGAAATTACAAATCACTCTGGTCCCGGACTTGAAAGAAATAACAGCGTCATCAGTTACTGCCTACCTGTCAACACTTTGATGAAGTTAATCCCTGGCAAAGATTTCGGACGCACTGAAACACAAAAAGGCAAACAATTGAGTACAGTCAGCAACATTTTCCTTTCTTTCAGGTATCGCAAATCATTATCTGAATGAATAAGCAAAACCAGCACAGCTACTAGCTACCAGCAGTTATGAAGCCAACAATCATTCATTCAGTTGTTGCTTTCAAAGAGATAGTACATGGACAATCATACAAGATAAAATGAAATAAATAAGCCTTTCTTTCTTTTCTGTTTGAAACCACATGATGATTCTGGTGAGGACTGGCTTCTTCTGCATACTGGTATGGATGATCAGGCAGGGCAATCATGGGTGGCACAACGCATATATGCAACGGGACTTGCGCATCGGTTAGCAGTTAGCACCAGCTGGTGTCCATGTGCCTATTATAATGTTCATCGTCGAACAGTCGTAATCAAATCCAAAGATTCCTCATCTTGAGAAAGGAAACAAAACCTAATACTATACTGCAATCTGGCTGCACAATGATGGGGCCGTTTGACTCGTACGAACTCGATGCACATGGTGGGTTTAGATGTACGTACTCTGATTACTACTTTTAATAGTGCTTTGACCAAAACAAATCTGATGCGATGCGATGCGATGCAATGCGATGCACGTAGTCTATACATGTAAATTCTTATTAATTCCAGGCAACTAGACAGTTTCACATGTAGAGATCAGATGCCATGCCCGGCCCCGATGTAAAAGAAATACTAGCCAATCCCTATCTATGATGCATACCTGAGTTGAGCTCCAGCAGTTGAATCAGCATGTATGAGATGTTTACACCTGCGACCGCAAAGGGGTACTCCCATGTAGCTCGCATTCCTTGCTGCTTCAGCATCAACCTCTTGAAAGAAGCCTGCTTAATTGTTGGATCAGCCACCAGCAACCGTCATCAGTCTATATGCATGACAAGGTGGACAGACACTTTGCTCACTTCGTAAGGAGGAGTTCATTCATTCATTTTTAAATAGAGGATCCTTGAATCCAGATCCCCCCACCCTGGTTAATTATTAAATTAAAGAAAAAAGACCTACCGGATATGTTCTTGCAAAAAATAGAAGGTTCTCAAGCGAAACATATCCACAGCCCCTGAAATAAAAGTAAGATGACATTGTCAAGACTCTTCGTCTGTCAGGGCAACACAAGCATGCTTGTTGGAAGAAACCAGCAGCTGATTTTGGGCCTCTAAGAAGAAAGAGACAAGGAGCGTTTTAAGCTTTTTTTTTACAGGAAAAAAAATTGAACAGTACGAAACTTATTTCCTAAAATAGGGCATAGAGTGAGACAAAAAAAAAACTCGAAGTAACCTGAAATCAGTCGCTGGATTCATGCCCTGCCACCCCATATCTTTCCACTGCGCTGAAACTATGCTAGTGAGCTCTGTATCAGGAAAGGAGATTTTCCAAAGAGCCCTAAGTGATTCCTAAATCCAAAGCACACAGTGTAATAAAACTCACAAGTCAACATTGGCTCAAAGTCAATAAGGTATAGCAAGTTGAAATATATTATTGTGTTGTAGTGTTGCAAGGATGAACTGAAATCATGGTGAAACTATAACTTTTCATGTCTCTTTTCTATCCATTAGAATGGCATTGCTGAATATTCGATTTCTTTTAGATTACTACAGAAAGTTTGTTGAAGCCTGTGTCTACGTCATAGGGATGCACAGAGCCCTATGACTATTGCTAAGTACTCCAGAAGTATTTGTGAAGCTAATTAAGTCGAGAGTTTCTCACTTGATGATCTTGCCGATTTTCGTCATAAGGTATATTTAGCCTTTCCTTCAAATTTTGCAGTCTCTGTTCCTGAATATATTTAAGAGAAGGTCATTTCAGCAGCAAGATGAAACGGAATTTGTATATATGGTACATCTCTATTTTATTTATTGTTTCCTAGAAACAAGAGAAGGCATTGTATTTGGCCTAATTAAACACATGATAGCGACGGTAGTGCGTCTGTACCTGTAGAGGGGTTAGATCAAGCACTATCTTCTCTGCACTGACTTGTCGCCTTTTGCCTGAGCCGTTAAAAAGCCCTCCAAACCATGTCCGATTTCCAACCATGGTAGCATCAACTGCAATGAGCAGGTTGTTTATTAGGAAGCAACTGGGATAAGAATCATTATATATAGTATTAGCAACAGCCTATATATAGATACCAAACTGCAAGAGCCTATATAATAGATCTTTTTCATCATTTAGAAAAGAAAGAGAATTGTCAATTTAATTTGCGTCAACATGCAATGGACCTTTTGTCTATGCATTCTTGTTTGCAAACACAGAGCTGTTATTATTATATATATAGGGTAGAGAAATGTACATACAAAAGAGAAAAAAAGAAATGGTACTCCGTCCTACCTGTTGGCGTTGAAGTTGAGATGGTAACGGAATGCCCATCAAATAAAGGAGGCGCCCTTTCTTTCTTTCTTTACCAATAATAATAATGTGAATGGAGTAGCTTAGCAATAACAAAATCAATGAAGGCGAGGGAAGGACGACGAGGGCGGCGCGTCAGGAGCTAATAGGATGAGTGGGAAAGCATGATCCATGAACACACATGCGGCGGCGGATTGGAGAGCGGTGCCGTGCCCCCTCCCTGTTTGTTGTTTCGGATTGGGAGGAGGCATACGCGCGCGCTTGCGCAGGGAAGAAGAAGAAGCTACGCCCTTGAGGATTCGACGGAATTCAGGAACATTCCCCTCGATGCCGCCCGTCGCTCCTGGATGATCGACGCGACGCGACGGAGGGAAGGGAGGGAGAGGAGGGTGGAGAATTGGGGAGCCTCCGTGGACCGCCCAGCCCCTCCTCTGCCCTTGCCCGGATCGTCGCTACCTATGCTATGCCATGCTATTTCTCCCTCTCCCTCTCCCTCTCCTTCTCTGCCCATGGTGGCGGTGGCGGTGGCGACACCGCCCGCGCATGCCGCCCGGCCATCCATCCAGCCCCTTCACCTTCCATGGTACCATGTCAATGTCATTGTCTGCGACGGACGGCGATCCAACCTCCGGAATGAACTCAAGAAGGCCCAACATAACCACATATACCGGGCCTGGGCTTCGTAACTCAAGGCGTATGTTGCAAAATCGCGCTCCGCGCCGAGCGGCCAACTGCAGGCAGGCCTCGTGAATGTTGGGATAGCAGATTAGCGGTAGCCCACGTAATAGAAAATGGAAACCTCCCATGGGCCGGTGGCCTAGCTTGGTCTTGTTCGTGTGGATCCACTGCATTCGGAGGATCAGATTTGTGGGAATTTAAAAATTGGGCCAAGCTGTCCGTGCTGCTCCTGTTGCTGCGCCAGACCGCCACCTGCTGCCTACTCTGCTGACGTTGCTTGCTCTCCTCTGCTGCACGCGCACTTGGTCTAGACGCAACTGTTTTTGCAAGTGAACGGTGGTGCCCGAGAGCAGGGTAAATCCAAAAATGATGAGACCACGGTAACCTTATGCCATTCTCGCTGACGGATAACATCATCAACCTCTCTCGGCTACGTGGATTATCTAACTAACGTTGCAACATCCAACTATGGACCTTGTACGGAAATGAAACACATGTATATATGGGGACCGCCTGCGTCTGCCCATCAAACACTTGCAACATAAAACCACTTTATATAACTAGTTGAGATGCACGTGCGGCACGCACGTGTCAAAAAAAATCTTTCATAGTAGAAGAATAATAATCAAAATTATAAATCCAATTGTTTGTTGGATGGGCGCTTGTTGCACTGCGTGCCGGGTTTGATGAAGGTCCTGTAGCTGCTTCCTGTTCTCCCTTCGCAGATGAAGCTGCTGCTGGTGTTGTTCCAGTTCTAGTTCTCATAGGTGCCACCTTGTGAGAACCTATTAGCTCTCAGTGGGCTATGGTTCACATCCTTGTCGCATGGTGAAGGTGATGAGGTCGAATTCTTTCTTGCCTCAACTTCACTGGGAAATAAGAGCTGAATGGTGTTCCAGATTACAATGTTGATGGTGCACGATCTTCAGCTGCTGCAGAGTGTTAATCATTTAGTCAAAGCCTTTAGAGTTTATATTGATCAAACCCATGTGTTGTCGAGATTGCACAGCTTTGAAGAAAGACTTACCTGATTAATTGCCTGCATTTTGGACACCGTTTTCCGCACTTGGCTGCAGTATGTCTTAAGCATTTATGCAGAAGCTATTTAAAAGAGTAGCAGTAATATGAGTTTCAGAAAAGTTTTCAGATCAGAGCAATGATGAAACTGATTTAAAATATTCAATAACATAATTACATCAAAGAATGTTCAATTCAAAAAAGTTACAGGTAACACCATAATGAGCAAAACATTAGGTTGGTGGACAATGTACAGATAACCACCACTTGGTTGAGATTGAGAAAAGGTTAATTTGAAATGATAAATCTCAGGATTAAAAAAAACCCTCTTTAGTACAATAATAATAATTTATTTCCACTCTAGCCTAACAATATTTGTGAACTAAACACCATATTTGCCGTGGAACTGACAGACTAATCTTTGTTTGAAGCAAGAATGTATGCTGGTCAGCAAGAATGTACACTTCAAATAGTTGGAGCAATCGTCTATTGGCATTCCTTAGCAGAATAGCAGGCAGCAACCAAAATGAACTAAATATGTTGAGAAAGCAACTGCATTGTATGGTTAAAGCAACTAAACTGGACTATACAATGATTCTTGCTATGTTCCCTGCCGGATGCAAACTTTCTGAATTCAAGTAACCTTTTTTACTTGAAGCACAGCCAAAGTAATGATGAAAATCATAGTACTCCAGTCTTGTATATATAAACAAAATCATGAAAGAAAAAGGAATTGGAAATGCGCTAGAACAGCGCTAGTACATTGCAGACAAGCTTTTGTGGTCCATTTGCCTGGGGATAATTAGCAGGTTTCTCTGACACTAACCAACAAAATTTTACCAAAATCCAGGATCATTCATTAAACTTCACTTTCGCTAGAAGTGCACAAGTACATGGCAAACAAGTTTTCGTGGTCCATTTGCCTGGGGATAATTAGCAGCCTTCTCCCACACTAACCAACAAAATGTTACCAAAATCCAGCATCATTCATTAAACTGCACTTTCGATAGTTGTCAGCATAGAAAATGAATTATGCACGTCACCGGAAGGAACTGACATTGCGGTTGCACACAGTACTAACAAAATGAGCCATGGAAAGTTTTCAATTTCTTCTCTTTTGCATATAGATTTTCAGAATACAAGCAACTACTTCTCCAAAAACACAGCTAGAAATTACCTGTGCCCACAAGGCGTGGTGCTCGGCTCAAAGCAGATGTCCAGGGCAAAACTGCAGAATATGCAATTCCCAAATCAATCGCCAATACCATCTACTATGAAATCAGAAATGTAACTCATATACAAAGGAAGCATCCTTACCGCTCAAGAGATCTCCTCCCGGAGGCAATCTATACACGGCAGCCTTCTCGCCAGATCCGTACACCTCCTTGTCGCCCACAACGACAACCTTCTCTTCCTCCTTAGAGTCCTTTGCTTCCGATTTGCCATCTAGGGGATTTTCAAATCAACGCCAGATAGAGAACGCCCAAGAACATTGTACTCTACTACGAATTTACCCAAGAAAATCAAATCAATCTGAGGAACACACCTGTGGCAGTGTCCGTCTTGTCGTCTTTGTCGTCGAGAGCGAGAACCACCGGCAGGATCTTGGCCAGCGGCGGTGTGGCAGAAGTGGGAGGAATCAGGAATGGCGTTGTCGCGCCTGGAGACGCTATCTGAAGAGGTGCTGGACAATGAACAGGGAGAAGAAGAGCTGGAAGAAGAAGGCGTCTTCATATCTACGTTTACGTATTTATAATAGCTGTTTATATGTGTGTCGCTGTTTTGTGGACCCGAGTGGTCAGACTTGTAAGGGGAATAAAACACCCCGATGCCTTCTATAAAAACCATCGAACTCATATTCAGTAAAACTAAAACTCGCCAAGGCAGAGGGCTTGCCCTGCCGGCGACCTCATTTCCGTATATCCGCTGCGTTCGTGCTCACGTCGGCGGCGATCCCTCGTCGACGGCCAAGGGTGTGACAAGTGGTATCGGATTTGACTATCCTTGGTGTGGGTGCGGAGCTTCACCGCTCATCATCAACGTCAATTATCGGCTCTTCGCTGGCTATCTCCGATCGGTTTCAGGTGACAGATCCTTCCGACCATCCATCAACCCATCCATCTAGCGCAGATCCACTATACCTCTCTTTCTCCCATACCACCGGGTTTCTGTTTTACAGCGTGTGTGTCGATCACAATCTGTAAAATCCAGTGGGCAGGCTCTGCTTGGGTCACGCCTCCGAGGTGTTCGACCAAAGTACCCAGAGGTCCCTCTTTTGGTTGATTGGGTCACCACTAGCCGTAAACAGCACCTTCCACCAAATCTATACACAATCCTAGTCAAGATCTGTCACCTTCTTCGGCTAATCATTCAAGTGGGGGACTACATCGACACCTTGGGTTCGGCGGCGTGAACTGGGGGAGCAGCATCTATTCTGTTCCATCTGATTGGTGCGGTGGCGTTGGCGGGAGAGTGTCCTTGGGCTCAGGTTTCGAGGCATGTCCTCGTGTAAAATTCCAAGGCTCAGCCTCACTCTCAGGCGGCGGTGTAGTGCCTGGCTATAGTTGGGGAGGAATCATCCAAACCAGTTGCTCGCGCACGGTCTTCTTGAATTGTGTTCACTATGGCTCTAGTCAAGCCATCTAAGCAGACATCTCTGCTGTTGGACGCCATGTCCAGGAAGTCTAACGAGGAGCAGAATTTCATGGAGAGGGTCATGGACCAGTTTGATCTGTTGGTCACACGAGTCAACGAGATTGGTGCCACCTAGACTCAGATGAAACAACAAATGGATATTCAGGCTGCTGCCATGGATGAGTACACCAGTGAACAACATCTTATTGCTCAGCAGGTGCTAGCCAATGGGGCAGCTGTAGCCCAACTGACATTGCAACAATTTGATCAAGCAGAGATGTACAAAGATGGGGAGTTCACATCTGTCACCTCAGAGGACAGTGACCATCAGGCTTTGGAGAATATCTTTGCTTCCAAGA